GTCCAGACGCTTTTCTTTGCAAGCTCCTTTGATTACTAGGCTTGATACATAAAGACTCAAACTGATATTTGGATGTTGGCAAGTCAAACCAAGGTGGAATTTACTATAAAGCAAAACAGGCAATTTCACTTGCATTTCTGCTTTTGTGTACTCACAGTTTTAGTTGTAAGTCTACACAGAGCTGTATGTATCTCGTCCCAGGTACCACCAAAAGGCACATTTTTTGCAGTTTCAGTTCAATCTTTCTACTGAAATGACTCAGAAACACCATATGATTTGTAGTTTTTGTTGGTAGCATTTTTGCTTTTAATTCATACAGTATTTCAATTCTCTAGTGCTATAGTTAGGCAATAATAAAAACGTGTTTAGTGAGGGACATTGCAGTAAATGAAAGTACAAAACTATTACACATGGTATGTCATCTCTAAAGGAAATGAAACATGATGGCAGAGTAAAAACCCAAACATAAAGGACAGTGACCACTTTATTTCCCTCATGATGCCCATAGAAAGTCTGAAATAGATGTTTAAAAGCAGGAGGTAACATTTTCTGTCTACCAGAGCTCCACCCTTATAATGACTGCATCCATTTATGCCTGTGGTTTTTCATTTTTATTCCACATAAAGGATTTAATGGCTCTTAATGGGTTTCTTAAAAATTACCAGTCGTGAGTTGAAACAGAAGCAAAATCCCTTTTCTTTATTTCTTTTGCCTGCCTTTGTTGTAATTTGAAGCTATGAAAGAATGACTTTTACCCCAGCATGAGTACCATCCTGCCAAATCATGGGACATGCTTTAAGTGTAACGCATTAAAGTGTCTCATATTTAAGAGCCACTCAGGCTCTGTGAGAAAGAACAAGATACATGGCTGTGTTATTCTGGGGCTCGATCCTTGCAGGGAAGAGCAGAAACACACACACACAATGTGGAGGAGAAGTGTGTTTAATCATGTGGTGTTACCTGGTGATCCTGCGAGCCTCCATGAAGCTGGGTGAATCTCTTCTTCTTTTGCGGATAGGTGAGTAGCTGCGTGAACGGCGGCGAGCTCGGCTGTCGGTGTCAGAGCGGTTGGCACTCTCCCTGTCCCTGTGTGACACACAAATCAGTCACACCATCGACCAATGGGAGCATATTATAAATCTACTATACATCAGACAGCGGCTCACCTGGAGGCGTTTTGCCTATTGTGCGGGGACTTGGCCTTGCTGGGTCCTCTGTCTTTGGAAGCAGAAGGCGAGGATGAACGCCCGCTGCTCCAGGAGCTGCTGCGCTGTCGGAGGTTTGCCTTGCTCCCAACTTTGTTGGCTGACGTGTGCCCTGGAGACGCTGATGTGCTCCGGTGGCGTGCCTGACCCCGACTGGATTGGTGGTGTCTCTTGGAAGAGTGGCCACCTTTTCCCCTGGGGGAATGGGAAGTATAATCCAGCAGATGTCAAACAGTTCTCTCTCATTTGCAAAGCCAAAGCGGTGAGGTCCAGCAGTGATAAGAGCCTGAAAGTGCACAACTGCAATGGAAGGCTTACTTTCTGTGGTGACGAGAGCTCCTCCCTCTGTAAGTATGGTTGTGCTGGGAGTGGGTCGAATCACTGCTGTGAGCAGGGGAGTGGGAGCTCTTATTCTGACCTCTCTGGCCTCCTCTCCTCCCTGACGCCTTGCTCAGAGAGCTCCCTATAGCTGTGCCCCTGCCATCGACACTCCCAGTATCTTCTGCAACACACATCTTTCCCATCTGGTTCCTGATAGGGGCGCTGTGGATCTTGTGCTCTCTCAGCAGAGATGACTGGACGCTTGCAGAGCTGGCAGTCAGCATGTGGAACTTCTGTAGAGAAATGATCACCAACAAAAGGGAAAAAAAAGAAAAGAAAAAAGAAAAAAAAGGATAAAAATAGCATCAGAGAGTTTTCAAGTTGGTAATTGAGAGCTATGGTGTACTTGCCAAAAGAAGGTAAACATCGAAAAGAAAAAGATCTAGGTTTTCTCCATATGGCTTATAGATAGTCCTCTATGGTGCAGCGCATGCAATACTTGGCATGCAAAACCATAATGAGTTGAAGAAATAATAATCGCAAAAACAAACAAAAATCTAGGAAAAGGGGGAAGAGAGGGTAGAAAAAAGAAACAAAACAAAACTGTGAACCAAATAATTTTAAGAGCAGAGGCAGAAATTAGAGAGATACAGATTTTGTAGAGTAGAAACAGAGGACTTCTTCAGTTTTTTCAGTAATGGTTAAAAAAAGAAACGAAACAGAAAGAGAAGACAACTTGACGGAACATCACAGAAATGGAAGGAACAAAATAAAGATCACAATTATTGTATCAATCGAATCAGAAAACAAATCTTCTGCTACTCAATTTTCTCTTTCTGGATTTTTTTTCCTGAAGACAATTGCTGAGATGTGAACAGCGACCCATTTTCTTTGTTTTTTTTAATGGTTACTCCCTTTAACTCCCTTCTGGTTAACATCCACTTACCAATAAAGTGGTATTCCCTCCTTTAGTAGGTAAGGTATGAAGAAAAGGGAAAAGTGGGGCAACATAAGTGCATCATTAGATTCACAAAATGCAAGAGAAAAAGACACAAAACCCTTCCCTGCCAGTGACTCATGAGACAATGCATGGAAATCAATAGAAAAGAACTGAAAAGCAAAGAGGAAAACCACAATGTGCAGGGAGTCCCTCACACAGAGAGTTAAATCCTCTGGGTCCAGTCACCTTCCTAAACATCACAGAGCAACGGGTCGGTGAGAGTTAAAGATACTTCCTTTACCTTTTTGCTCTTAGTGTGCTTTATATAATGAGACAGCCTGGACTCTTTAATGTCTTTCATACAGGACACTTACAGTTCTCACACTAGCAGAATTTTGCTATTACATGTAGTTCCAGGGAGTTATTGCTACATTAGAGAGTGCTGTATTAATAGGCTTAAAAAACTAGACATTTTACCCAAATCAGTGATTTTTTTAGAGTCAGGAATGACCTTGAAGCTAACAAAAATTGGCAAAGCTTTAAAGGGTATAAAGCAGACAATATCATACACTTTTGTAAATCCCACAAAAAGACCAAAACAATTTTTGGTTGGGTTTTTCTGCTCATAGTTGCTTTGCATCTGCAAGCCACTTTGGGAATCAGAACAATGACATGCTGCCAAAAATAAATGAGTGTATAAGGAAATAACACCTGACTTTAGTGGTCCGGAATAAACTGCACTTAATTTATTTTAGCAGGGCAGCCAGTTCAATTGCTTCACTGGGCAATCTCTTATTTCATTGGCACCAAATGTGTGTTAACGCACGGTTAAAAATAGTTCCCATGTCATGCAACATTTACTCTGGAAATTATAATGGCCAGAAAGAATATTAGGAGAGCACTGTCCCCTACGCAGAGCCACTAGCATGGCAATAGCAGCTTCATTTACCACTTTGCTCGAGACAGAAAAATGTAAACTCTGAATTAGATATTTCCAGTTCCCAGATTCTCTGGCACACTATCAACCACCACCAACTAGTTTCAGTGTATTGTCATTAGCTAGATTGTCATGGAATTTGGTTGATAACTTGATGACAACGATAAAGCCTAAATAAATTAAAATGCAATCCAATACTTCAGTGTACAACATTCCCGTCAGCCTCAGCTGTATTTTGTGTTAAATCAGCAAACTAAGAGCTAAGTACTAAACATCAGCATCATTACTGTGAACATGTCTTCACTTCACTTTTGTGTCTAGCTTCAATGGCTTCTCTTCCCTTAACCTGGTTCTGTCAGGGGTCTCTTACTGTTAAAAGGGAGTTTTTCTTCCCTACAGTTACCAAGTGCTGCCCACAGGCATCTGATTGTTGGGGATTTCTTTTACCTTACAACATAAAGGACCTTAAGACAATACTAACTGTTAACTAGCACCATATAAATTAAACTGATTTTTGTTATAAAGTCTTACCAAATGAAACTGTTTGTAGAAATTGAACTATTGGGCCCCATTCATAAATTATTGCACCTTCGGTAAGAATGTACAACAGACTGGGTACAGGAATTGTATTGACAGACAGCCTGTGTTGTTTGCTTTGGTCTTTTCAGGGGATTTCATGATAAAATAAAAACTAGAGTGCTGTCATCCTTAAACAGTATGTAGAGAGAACCTCTATTTTAAGCATAGGACAAAAAAAAATAGAATTAGCATTACAGTGGGAGTTTAGGGACTAAAATTTGTGATGCACAGTAATGCACTGCTCACTGTAAGCAGGCCAGAAGGTTAATCTCCAAAAGGCGCTTTGTCTGAAAGCAAATACAGCTGGGTCTTCCGCATGCATTATCCTGTTCTGTCTGAGCTGCTATCTGAAGATACAACAAAAGCACCGTTCTCCACTAGAGAGGAGACAACTAAGCGTAATAATAGGAAAACACAACCACTTGTGCTTAAGACAGTTATTGGAAACAGTCGAGGAAATCAATATGGTGAAAATCAAAAGACGAATGTACTAATTCACCGACAAACAGAGAGATGCTGGACAAACAGGAATGCATTCTACCAGAACAGAGAGAAAAGAAAAATAAATGGACAGAAATGGACCTGGAAGATAAAGCTGGATACTGGACTTCAGGATGAAATTAAGCAGGAAAGAGAAAAACCAGAGCGCTACGTAATCCAATCTTTTAAGAGTCAAATCATAATTGATGAAGTCAAATTAATTTGGTTAAAGACCATTGGTAAACAACAGAAAGAGAGAGAGAGAAAGAGAGAGATTGAGAGAGAAACATTGACGTCACTCAGGCTAGGGTGCTTGTCACATTCTCATCTGCATAAAGATCACGTGCGTAGGCAAAGCATTACCTACCTTCCATTTCAATCAGTGACACGTATGCAATATCAACAAAAAACAGGAAAGAAAGAAAAAAAGGAAAAAAAGAGGAGAAAGGAATGTTCTCCGCAGCGAAAATGGGAAAAAGACAATGACCTCTTTTAGTATCAGCGCTACATATTTAGTCCAGAGACTGAGAATAAATTAAACCAAGCAAAAAAAAGAAAAGAAAGAAAAATAGAGGGGGGAAAGTAAAAATCAAAATCAGATGGAATTCAAAATCAAATTCAAATTCAAAACAAAGGATGAATCTATAAACTACATGATTTGCTCTGTCTTTTTCGCTTGTACAAATGCAGCCATATTTGTATCAAAACAGGGGAGGGAGGACAGAGAGGGACAGAGTTAATGTTAGTGGACATCCATGTAGAGTAGAATTGCTAAATGGAGACAGAGGAGGAGGAGAAGCAGGAGGAGGAATAGGAAGGGGGGTCATGCAGAGCTGGCGGGAAGAAAAATGGCAGGACAACGAGAGTGAGATGTGAGTCACAGAGGACACAGATGATCGGGTAGGAAAGAGGAGGAGGGGTTTAAAAAGAGTGCTGGAGGGGAGCAGTCAATGCTAAGATTGACAAACTAAAGAGTCAGCACATCTGAAAGGGACCCCAGTCACATTTTGGCCTGGGTCTTCTCCAGCAGTAGCAGCAACAGTAGGAACAGCACTGGTCTACTCTGTACTTTATTTTTGGACGTCAGCCCAGCTTTCTTCCAGGCATTCCTTTGTGTTTATCACCATAAACACAGGTACAACAAGAGGGCGCCTTAAGGAGCTTTTCTGAGCTTCTGTTTAAACTGTTAGTGTGTACAGAGAGCTTTCAATCAAAATGGCTTGAGTCCCTTTAAAAAAAATCATGTTAATTAAGGTGTAAGTTGTCCGAACTATTTTCGAAAGTCCATGTAATCGTGTTTAAAGATATCCATTAATAATGCGCAGGAACAAATTAGCCCTTTTGGGACCGTTTCATCCACTGTGGAGGAGGCAGAAATGGATGCTTCCCATAGAAAAGCCTAGGGATGCTGCAGGATGGATCAGTTAGTAGAAGCCTTACCTCTGGAAAAAAAAACAGTATAGTTAGATAAATTATAAATAGTTTGTCTTTATTGTCATTTGTTGTTGTTTGATTAAATCTGATGAGCCTAGCTCAGATTGGCTCACTACCCCCCCCCTTGTGGCATGATAGAATTAAAGAAAGTCGCCTTTGTTGCTTTCTTTTTTCTTTATCTCCAACTTCTGCAGACTAGACTGCAAGCTGTATTAGTGTATTGCTCTCTTTTGGCATTTTGTATTTAGATTTTGTCATTTTTGAGATATGATGCTATAAACGGACCTTGAGGAGACCCACACATTGCACAGTTTTAGGGAACACATTGTGTTAATCCAATTTATCCAAACAAAATGGTGAGATCCTCACAAGTGGTTTTCAAAGGGCAGTTAGGTAAAAATCTGTTTTGCAGTTAAACTTGTAATAAATAATTATTCTATTAGCAAATAAATAAATACAGATAAACTGCTTATTTGTATTGTGTCTTCTTCCTGTTGTAGCTGGTTGCAGCAGATGGCCCGCCCCTCCCTGAGTCTGGTTCTGATGAAGGTTTCTTCCTGTTAAAACAGAGTTTTTCCTTCCCATAGTCGCCAAGTGCTTGCTCATAGTCGGTCATGCTCTGTATTATTGTAGGATCTTTACCTTACAATATAAAACACCTTGAGGTGACCGTTTCTGTGATTTGGTACTATATAAATAAAATATCTGGAATTGAGCTAAAATTAAATAGAGTTGATTTGAATTTCCATTCCCACAAACAGTTAGGAAATGCTCATCTTGAAGAACATTTAAATCAAAAAATAGCCACTGTTGTAGTGGGTGTTTTTCTCCAGTGGCAACAAGGAGCAGTAAAGAGCAAATAAAAGTAAAATTTACCTTGAATTAGAATGATTTTCAAACTGCATGCTGTGTTTTTCCAGAGAGAAGGCTTTGGACAGATGGACTGACTGGTTAGTTTGGCCCAACAGCAGCTTAACAGCACACAGCTGTTACTCTGAGCGTTCCTCTGGGACATCTGAGGGACTCCCTCCCACACAGTGAATAAGACTGCTTCAAACAGAGCTACAGGATGGCTACAGGAACACAAACTGAGATGATAGATAGTAAAACCAGAGCTGCTATGCAGAACATTTGCTTAGTCACACAATTGCTGCAGTAAAATCAGACTTCAGTTAGATCCAGGATCTGTCACTCATAACCATCCTCCCGTGCAATGTTCCACTTTGATAATTTTTAAATATTTGAGCTTTTGGTGGAGATTAAAAAGAGTGGTAGTTTATGTGCCACAGAGATGCTGCTTTAGAAAATGTGAGCCAATTACACGCTCCTCTTATACTATTTCCCAACAGAATGGCTCAAATGTACATGACCAAACAGAGTTTGCTTGGCATTGTCCAGATTAAGTATAAACAAAAAAGGCAGGAACAGAAGAGATACTGCCTCTTAGGGGCCTCATGCACATCGACATGGTGAAGTAAAGCAACAGAGAGGAGCATCTCCTTAACCCCTGGTGGTTTGCCAGGAGCTGTTAGACGCCTGGAGGAGAAGAGGATCTATCACTGAGCAGAGCATGTGCTTGAGAAGAAAGACAATTGTATTGACAAAAAGAAACTGTAACACATACCCAGTTAACCTACTTGGTCCAGTTCCAAAGCATTTGAGTGCTTTTTATATAAACGAGACAGAAAGATTTGGGCATTTATTCATTTATTCACCACTTAAATTGATAAGGAAAACAAAGTAATGAATGAAATAAGCAGAGAGAGAAAGAGAGAAAGAGATCAGATGAGACCCCGTAGAGAGACATGCAAGCTGAAGTAGGAAATAGAAGGTGTCAGTTCTCAGGAGTGAGTGTTTGCAGCCTATTTAAACTCATATTTATCAGTGCTTGCTGATTTCACAGGTGATCCCCTTTGTCTAAGTGGTGTGTTTTATTTAATTTTAGTGTAATCACTCATCAAACCACAGCTCTAATGACCCATTTACAGTATGGAGGAGCAGGGATGCTTCCATAATAGCAGTAAGCAATTTAAAGCTCATCAAAGGGTTTGTCTTTGTCTTCAGGTAATCAGGGGCTCATAAACATGGTAATGTTCGAAAATACCAAAACAAACAACGAGCAGCTTCAGCCTGAACAGACAGGGAGGACTACATTTATGATTTATACCATGTTATCCTCTGTCAGTCTACTGTGAGCTTGCAGTGGAGTTCTTCATTTGAACAACAGAGTAATTAATCCATCATTCCTTAAAGGACCTGTCGAGTGACATGTTTTTATGCAAATCCGATTTAAAAAATACTGAGTAGCTGTCTAAATGTTTTGATAAAAACAGAATGCAATGATTTTCAAATCTCATAAACCCATATTTTATTAACACCAGAAAACACAGAAGCTATATCAAATGTTTAAACTAAGACATTTGACTCATTAGCCTCTTCTGAATTTGATGGCAGCAACACATATCAAATGTTCACCAGGCTGCAAAAACACAGCATCTATAAATTGTAAAAGAATTTCAGAATAAGGCCCATCAACATATTCCATTTAGGAGATCTCATCATCTACAGTACATAGTACCACCAAAAGAATCAGAGAATCGGAAGAAATGTCTGTGCACAGTGGAAAAGGCCAAAAATCAATACCGAATGCCTATGATCTTTGAACCCTAAGGCAGCACTGTACTAAAACAGGTATGATTCTATCCTTGTAATCACCTCATGGGTTCAGGAACATTTCCTGAACTCGCTTTCTGTGAACACAGGGTGAAGCTCCAATGAAGAAAAAAAACATTCTTCTTTTTTGGAAAACATGGGCATTGCATCTGGGCTAAAGAGGAGAAGGAGCATCCAACTTGTTGTTAGCTCTTGCTTAGAAGTCTGCATCTCTGATGGTATGGGGGGGGGGGGGGGGGGTGCATTAGTGCCTATGGAAGTGAGCTTGCACATTGTGAAAAGCACAATCAGTTTTATAATTTACATACAGGGTTTAGAGAACTCACATATCAAAGTGATGCTAAACCACATGGTGTATCTAATTTATTACAACAGTATGCCTTTATAGTAGAAGAGTTGGGGTGATGAACTGGCCTTCCTGTAGTCCAGACCTTTCACTAACTGAACACACAAGGCACATAATGAAAATAACGGTAAGAAAAAGAAGACCCAGAACTGTTGAGCAGCTGTAATCCTATAACAGACAAGAATGGGACAACATTGCTCTCCCAAAAGTCCAGCAGCTGGTCTCCTCAAGCATGGCCCTGTTCCCAGTTTTTTGAGATACGTTGCTGTCATCAAATTCAAAGTAACTTTTTTTTATGTTCTCAGTTTATACATTTGGTACATTTTTTGTTATCTATTGTGAATAAAACATGTATTTATGACATTTGCAAATAATCACCCTCTGTTATTTACATTTACACAGAATCTTAAGTTTTTTGGAACTGGGGTTATAGCTCTTAATGCAGTGCAAGATTTAGACATGTATGAAAGATTTAAAGAACCTTGAGCCAAAACAAAAATGCGGTGTCATATTTACATGAAACACATGCGTTAAAAATACCGTTATTTATCGCTTGTGTTTGACTGTTATTAGCATCCACAATCAAAAATGTAAATATAAAGTCAAATGTAGCATCCCTGCAGCTGGCGAGCCTAAAGAAAAAACATGACACTGTGGCAAATTGGCTAGTTGATTTCTTTTCATTTCTGGCATATGTGATGTCTCCCAGTCTAAATAAAGGAAAGCCTCCCTCACACTGTTCATGAAAATTCAAAAGATATTGACGTGACATACATTTTCTACTCCTGTATTCCTGTGTTTAGTTGTTTATTTAAATCATGCAAAAGGGTGTCAACTTTGAAAGTGTTACTAATCACTCGTCTGTTTATTACCTCATCATTGAATCCTGTGCTTTAATACAGTCACTGTATCAAAGAAAGATGTAAAAGTCAATTTTAAATATTATCAAAATTGTCTTTAACTGTTTAGATCACCAGTCAGATCTGATTAATTAAAAAAAAAATGCAATAGTCACCCCAAAATAAGTAATAATAAAATCATAAATACCCAAAGCTTTTAAATCAAAAGTCTTTGAGTGCTCATTTTTGAGAGCAAATTTTCTGATTTGTAATTACTTGGGCACTGATTTTTAATTACGTTAAAGATATCCTCACTTTAGCTGACTTTTATGTCTAAAAAAATGTTTCATCAATAAGTCATAAGGTAATTTTTCTTACCTTTTTAATTATGACACAGCAAATCCATGTTTGCATTTCTCTTTATTTCTTCTTCCTTCTTTCCTTTTTTTTTTTAATCTTCCATATGTGCCAGGATACTCAGCTACCACTTAAAAGTTTGCTATAACTCATTCTGGCCTGCTTGGATTCAGACTTTCCAGTAAGTATTTGGATTATTCTGTTTGAGGAGAATTTGCAGATTGCTATCACTTTATAGCACTGTCAGAAATCAGATTGCGCCTCTTTCAATGCTGATTAATTAAGTCTTTATCTGGCGTAAAACTTATCACACCTGAGTTGATATTTCTTCGCAGGTTTGGGCCTTGTGACGGAGAGAAAATCACACAACTCCACAACATATCGTTTTTTGCTCCTTTGTTTGGAGACTTTGTGCACCAATGTGGCTCGGATCCCCATCCGAGGTGTGGTACGCTAATGCTGTGTGACTCAGAGAGTATATACTTGAACGGAAACACTTAAACTTTTCTTCTCTTTGCTCCCTCTCTGTATTACTGGCAAATAACAAGAAAAAAAAGCAAAAAACAAACAAACAAAAGAAAAGAAAATAATTTTTTAAAAAAGAAACACAAGATGACAGGAGTCAAAGAGAGCCAGAAACAAAGCAGCAGGAGCGGCAAGTTTTGCGAAAAGGTTTGTCTTTGACATGTTGAAAATAATACCATTAATAATAATTATTATAATAATAATAACTGAGCTATGACCTAGGAAAAACTAATAAAAGAACACAAACCTCTCAGTGTCTTAGATGAGAATTCATGTGAACCAACACAAGAGAGCAAGTTAAAACTCATTTGCAGGGGGCTGCGGCAAATACCACCAGAGGGAGGCCGGGTGGGAGGGGGTGGTGTGTGTGTGCGGAAACAAAATAGAGGAGATTACATACATCGTTCCCTTTCTCGCCATCGGTGTGGTTGAGTCTCCCGGCCTTGCCGTTGCGGCTTCGCTGGGTGTGGTCCCCGTTGTGCCAAGTGGTGGGACTCTCGGGGGCCGGGGACTGCGGGGTGTCAGACATCTTTTGACCGTCTGTCTTGTGTTTGGAGTTTAATCTGGAACAGCAGGGCACACCACTTTACTCTAACTTGGGTGCAATCCGGTAGAAACAAGCTAGTACATTCTATTTCTCTGATTATTCTTGTTTATCTCATTTGCTGCTTCACGAATATTGAATTTTGTTTGCTATTCCAATTCACTTTGCATTTTGCTTATTTTTACACACAAAAAGAGGCTTCGCACAAATAACGTTTATAGAGAACTCTGCATAATGTTTCCCTACAGTTTAGCTTAGACAGGTAGAGAGTAAAACCTTTTTTCTTACTTGCTGATCTGTTAATGCACATTATGAGTCATGTGATCCCTCAAGAGTGACTCTTAATTATTCAAGAGCAATTATAAGTAATGCAAAAGGCTGAACTATAATACATAACTACAGAATAAAAAGATAAATGCCCCATGAACTGAATAAACAATGAATGCTTTGTCATCTAACCGAACATGAGGGCAGAGTGAGATATCACAACCGTTTAGCAGGGCGAGTTTAAGAAATGCAGGCAAGCCACATTTGTATCCCAATCTATCGCCCTGGGGGTCAAGAGTAAATGATGGGAAGACTTACTGTCACCAGAGCAACTGCTTGACAGTCAGGAGAGGTATTTCAGTGGGACTATACTGTCTGTGTGCGTGTGTGTACAATGGGGGAGGGTTACCTGGTGGGTGATCTGGAGGCACTCCTGATGGAAGACAAGGAGGGACTTCGAGAGCTGCAGCAGCTGCCTTGACGCTGTGAACTCCTGCTGGGTGTTTCATCAGGGGACCTGACAGAGGACAGCCAATGGACAAACATACCACGCACACACATGTACACACATCCATAAAGCCACGTGTATGCATGCATACATCATGGGGACACACAGGCCACAGCAAGTTCAGTAGTCAATCTCATGATATGTAAAACAGGCAATGCACTGCAAAATACTTTCAATATATATATTCTAATAGAGGGTGCAGGATATATATATATATATATATATATATATATATATATATATACAAATACATATATATATGTGTGTGTGTGTGTGTGTGTGTGTGTAGCAAGAGAGAGAGAGCACGGTACAGCCCAGAAATTGTGCTGAACTCACACGCTTTGCTTAGAAGATGCTCTCAATTCTTTTACACTTGTTCACATTCTGTGTGAGTCTAAGCCTGAGATAATGGCTGTAAAGTGCCAATATAAATTCATGAGTAGGCTCAATGGGACTTCTACCTATTGTTGAGGAGTTAAGACTGTTGTTCACTGTTTGTTTTAATGTGAACTGAGGAAATGTGCATTAAATGTTACTGGTAATGAATGAAACTTGGCTACTCTCTTATAAGACATGCAGACTATCTGCTCTACATTTACATGGATTAAAGAATTGTTATGGGAGATTTTAACAGAGTGAATCTCAAACGGACATTTCACAACCTTCACCAGCACATCAACTGCACGAGGACATTAGACCACTGCTACACCCCGTTCAAGAACTGTTACAAGGCTCAGGCCCTGCTGGCATTTGGAAAATCGGACCATTCCGCCATCTTCCTCATGCCTGCTTACAAACAAAGGCTAAAGCAGCAACCACCAATCAGGAGGGAGGTCGCTCGCTGGACGGACCAATCGGTGGCCGCGCTGCAGGACGCACTGGACGACGCAGACTGGGACATGGTTCGGCGCAGCTCTGATGACATTAACATTTTTACGGAAGCGGTTGTGGGATCTATCGGGAAACTAGCGGACGACACAGCAGAAAGAACTATCATCTGAACGTTTCCCAACCAGAAGCCGTGGGTGGATAAAAACATCCGCGACGCTCTGAGATCACGCAC